ATGTTTCCATGGGTCTGTTGGTGGGAATATTAGAGCGTTGCTGATATGATCTTGGGGATTCGACTTGAACCTGATTACGCACATTAGGGTAGATCTGTGGATCTGTCGGCCTCAGAGCCCTCATGTATTGGAAAGGGCGAGGATTTCCATACACATCTTGTTCCCCTCTTCCACCCTGCCACGTTCTAGGCTGCACAGAACTTGTGGCTGAGAAAGAACATGGGTATGAGTACAGATTATAATCATGTTGGTAAAGCTTAGAACACATCTACAGTTTGTCAGTATTGTTTAGATAGAACTTCAGTGTTGAGTTTATTAAGCCAGTGTCAAAGACATTTGTATTCTTATACTCTTAACAGGAGGAAGGAAGTCCGTTAATTTGTGTGATCCACTCACAGAAAGCATAATATTCATATACATTTATACCATCTACAGTTACCCAGCTTGAATTTTCCTTTTCCAAATTTAACACTGAAGAACTCCGTCTTTTCAAAGCAATTACTAAAGTAAAAAGATAAAACACCATGCTTACGATGACTCATTACATAAGTTGAGATTTTGGTATCTAAACATCTGCAAGTTAACTTAATGCATCATACATGGAACCTGTAGAGTTTCCCCCCACTAAATGAAACCCGGCTGTGACGTTAAAGTAATGCAAACTCAGCGTTACATTTTACCTCTCAGTGTGCTGTGAGCCATTTAAATACCCTGCTTTAACCAAATCAAATCTGCCAATTTGAGCATGAGGTATCTCGACCCTAACCCAGTAGCTGCAAAGTCCTGATAAGGTACACTGGTAGACCTGTTTAGTGACCAACAGCTTTATCACCTGAAGTGGGGGAGAGGAAAAAAACTGCCTGGATTACATACTACATATTTTGTTCCAGTGTAAATACTGTTAAACCTCTTTCAAATATTATCTAAAGAGATGCTGCAGATTCTGGGTGCAGGCATTCACTGGACTCCTCAGGTAAGACATAAAGTTGTCATTTCATAAAATCATTAGAGTAGGTTTCAACATGCTCACCTTTGGGAAGAGCTGAGGAATAGTTCACATCACTCAAAACATAAAGCAGTAAAAACCTGTCAAGCAGCACAAATACAGTCAAGATAAAACCAGACCAAAGCCTCACATTCAAGTACAGGAAGTGCATATCATGAAAATACATTTAAACATTGTACCTTGCAATTAAGAACCGGGCAACCATGACTCCAGTAGCTGCACTCACTGTCCTCACAAACCCTCCAGCTGGACTGTGCATGCAAAGCACTCACATTTCCACGGGTCCACACACACCAGCTCCGACCAAACACCAGTGTACATCTGAGTTACGTGTTTAGGACATGCTGCTGTCTTTATCGGTCCTTCCTACCGGCAGGTGTTTCCAATCAGGCTTTTTTAATGAGAAGTTGAACTGAGGTACCCAACAGATCAACTCCCCCACTTCTTTTATGCATACATGTTTATTTTGCTCTTCACTCAAACTTTTGGGGAGACACAAACTGTTATTCCAGGTAACCTGTTAACCAATCAGAGAACACTAAATGTTTAAAAATCTGGCTAGATTCAAACTTTACACAGGAAAAGTGAAATAAAATCTGAAAAGTTAAACTTACTTTGTCTATTTATGATGCACTGAATTTCATAAATCCAATGTAAATTTTAGCACTAGGTGCAATGACTCCCAAGCTAGGCGAGTGGCTCCAGCAGATCCCAGGAACAACATCCGAGATCTAGGAACAGCAAAGATACTGCGCAGGACTCTTGAGCTCCCAGGCCTCTGGTAGAGGACCTGAGCTTGAAGAATAGTCCGTCCGCAGGGGGCAATTTTTTATTTCTTTTGGAATCGCCTGTCTGGCTTTTTGTTCGACCTTTATTATTATTATTTCATTTTTAGTTATTACAATCAGATAGAGGAAGAAAGAGAGGCTGGGAAGACATTTAACAGAAGGAGACGGGAAGAAAAACAGAGGAGAAGAGGAAATGAGAGAGAACAGACACTGAAAATCTGCTTGATCGCCTGCTGAGAGAGAAAAAAAAAAAGCAAAAAGCAGACAACATAGTAGGGAAACCACAGCAACAACCATAAGCATCAGTAATAGTAAGTAATAAATATTGAGTGAACAGCATACAGTACTAATAATACATTATATGTTTAGAGGCAGCAGCCAACCAAGATAGTGTGTGAGTACCTGTTTGTACACCTGTCTGAACACTTGTGTATACACCTGTGTGTGTGGGCCCGTTTATGTTCATAAGATTTCTCCATGTAAGTGTCTAATAGTGGGTATGGGGAGCCATAACGCTTCCCCCCAGGTCATCAGCGACTGGAGGAGATCCGGGCCCCAGACATGTATAGGATTTATGTACAGGATTTCTATCTTTACAAGGGGGCAGTTTGAGTGCAGTGATGGAATGTAACTAAGTCAATTTATTGTCTACTATTATATAAGTATAGTTTTGATTTACTTGTACTTGTGAAATCAAGTTTGCCAGGTTCCACTTATTAGGTCCTGAAGGAACCTACTGGAGTGGCAGTGTCGTCTTCAGAGGCCTCATCTTTATCACCATGGTCACCTGCATCTAAAGGATAATCATTGGGACCAGACTCAACAATAATACTCTACCAAAGCTCAGAAAAGACAGATGATATGAGGACTTCATGACAGCAAATTGCAAGAAATGTAAGTTAGTTTCAGGATCTGATGTTATAACTGAAAATTGCCAATTAGCTTTTTTTTTTTTTTACCAATACTAATAATGAAATATTATTAGTGTTGGTAGTGCTGAATGTTTTTATAACAGCCTGGTAGATGCTCTATATTAATTTCTTGTTGTTGTTATTTCAGATTGCTTTGTATTCAAAGCCAGGTAGCCAGTCTTCAAAATATTTAGGAGGAAGTTGTCTGGTAAATTCCTTCCAAAGTGGCCAACATTCTTCAAGCCAAGCCAAATCTGCTTCAAGGCCCTTTCACATCGGACACAGCATGCGCTGCGCTCACCGCTTGCTAGAGTGAGGGACCCAAAATTTGTGTTGGATTGGCTGCTGAAGATGTGATTTTTAGAATTGTATTGAAGTAGAAGTTCACTTTTGATGTGAACAGATGTGGATTATCAAGGGCAAGGAGACCCAACATGCAGCAGATTTATCTATTCCAGATAAGCTTGGTGTTGCAGCACAGACACAGGATTGTTTCTATTATAACTAAATGTGCACATCGGAACAAAAATAATTGTGCACCAGGAGTTAAACATTTTAATATTGGCACTCAAAATCAGACTCCCAGTTTTGTTTAACGTAATTCACTTGGATTCTTTCTCAAGTGGTGGGTAGCATGAAGACTTTTCACAAGGAAAATGGCTGCTCAGCTCTTCCTCCTGTGTGTTGGAGAAAGAAAGAACAACATCCAGAATTTCTAAATTGTTAAGACAATGAAGAAATCAAAAGGTGATTCCCTGTGTGATCCATAGAATATAATAGAATGCCTTTATTTTCACTATACAGATGTACAATGAGACACAGAATAGAGATGTAGACTGGGGTTGCAGCCCTGATGAGCTTTTCAAGGCCCAATTTCCATTTGCTGTGAAATGTTCATGTGTTACATTTGCAAGATACAGCACACAAGCTGTTTAGTGTTATTTAGACATTTCCAACATGGTTTGTATCCAGGAAGGGTTTCGCATATGTATATATATAAATGTAAAGTGTAAATTTAAATGTTATTTTATACACAAAGAGGTGTTTAAATGGGTTAAAGAGCTAGTTATGTACCCATTCAGTGGTTACATGCTTTGCTATTTACATGTTTACGCATCTGAATGTTTACACATGCATGTTCAAAGCAGTAATAAGTATGTGCTGTATACCTAGTTGTTTTCCCTGCATTGATCTGAGTATAGGTTTTCCTGGCTTTGAGTGGCCAGTGCAGTATTCATGAAGGCTATACACAGGAAGTGTTTGGTTGTTGTTGCTGTGTGCTGAGAGTAAAGAGGCTGCTAAGAAAGTTATCAATTTCCATCTTGCTGTTTCTAATCGTTCAGAGAGATTCCAAACCACATAGTGAACCCTCACATTACATACATATATTCTCCTCTCAGCCCTGCAGATGGTCTATCCTTCAAGCTCGGGTCCTCTGCCAGAGGCCTGGGAGCTTGAGGGTCCTGCGCAGTATCTCTGCTGTTCCTAGGACTGCGCTCTTCTGGACAGAGATCTCGGATGGTGTTCCTGGGATCTGTTGGAGCCACTCACATAGCTTGGGAATCACTGCACCTAGTGCTCTGATTACAACTGGAACCACTGTTACCTTCACCCTCCACATCTTCTCGAGCTCTTCTCTGAGATCTTGGTACTTCTCCAGCTTCTCGTGTTCCTTCTTCCTGATGTTGCTGTCATTCGGAATCGGTACATCTATCACTACGGCCGTTTTCTTCTGTCCGTCTACCACCATTTTGTCCGTCTGTATCTGACAAATAACAACATTTTTTTATAATGCCTTTACTTTTTGTTACTAGCAGCATGTCACAAATACACATAGCTTGTTTCCATTTCATTAACTGAATGTAGAGTATATGCAAATGATAACACAGTTTGACCAGCATAAAACAATATTTTTGCACCAACAAAGTGATTCACAAAGCTCTATTACCCAGTGATGTTTACAGTGTAGTTAGATATTTTGAGGAAACTGGACAAGTAAAAGATAAAGAAGTAGTAAACCTAAAAAAAAACCCAAACTAAACAAAACACCATCTACAGCAGCTGAACAGCAGCTTTTTAATGTCATTCAAGATGCCTACAACTACTCCTGAATCCTACTTAAAGAAGAGAGCTGCCAAAGAGAGTTAAGGCTGTGTTAAAGAATAATCAAAGTCGGTTGTGCTAAATCTTTACTTCAGGCTTGTCAGAATGGCACAAACTCTGCCTTTGCCTTATGTGCTGCTGCATTTCTATGTATGTTTGAATATGTGTCAATAAATTGCTGCATCTAGTTCCTAAAAAAAAAGACGCACTCCTTTTTATTTTCCAGCAATAAAAAGAAGTAACTTTTGTTGTTCAATTTACTATCAAAATGCTTCCTTTTTAAGCTCGTATTTTTTGAATTTGTTCATGAAAATGTTTCGTTGGGGATAATTGATGTAATTACATTTCACTGAATTTGATTTTGCTCGTAATTACACAGGTGTGTAAATTTCAGCCTTGTCATCCTTTGCTTTCTTCTTCCTGGAAAAAAGAAGAAGAAGAAGAAGACAGGAAGTGTTCCTGTTCCTGTTGCTGTTGACGAGCACGGGCGTGAGATAACGGAGTGCGGAGATTTCGAGGGTTCGTGTTATAATTCCTTCTTTCTTTCTTATTATTATCATTAGTAGTATTTATTTTTCCTTCTGCTTTCGGTTAATAGGCTATGAAGCCAGAAAATCTCCGGTGAACATTACTGATGATGAACTAGCTTCTCAGGCCATATAACGACAGTTCAGTGCTCAGCATCGGTGTGTTTCAAGTGCGGTGCTGAGCCAGTGTTTAAAACGCTGCGATACGTCGCGTTTCTACAGAACTGTAGATAATGTGTGTTCAGTGTACTAACGTTTTGTATGTAAGAGGTTTTGGCTCTCACTAGCGCGGTGAGCCATCTGATTCAGCGAGGAACAGAATGAGTCAGGCCTGTCGTTGGGTGTAACAGCCATTTCTTCCACCTGCGCTATCTCACTTCCTTCGAAAATACGACATTAATATTAAGGTTATCAATTATATCACGCTTGAGATGTACGTGTGTTGGTGTGAAGCCAGTAGCACTGGTATAATAACAATGCCTGTCGTTGCTGCTGCTTTTCCAGGCTTCCTTCGTATGGCACGACTAGCTTCGCCATTGCGCTTGCAGGCGCTGCGGCTATTAGTCCTATTTTTATGGGTGCGGGTCCTCTGTGTCTAAATAGTTCAATTTCTCTTTAAAATTAAAGTCTGGACACATAAAATATCTTGGTTTATAATTGTTTCATGGAAAGAAAAAATAGCCAGCACGCTTTATTCACACAAATTAATGACTGATTTTCTGGGTTGTTTTTTTTTTTTTTTTACAGTATTGCTCCCGGTATTGGCTTTCCTCCCTATAAGGCCCCTTTTCACTGAACTATAAGATTGCTGTTTCCTCGGCAAGTTAGCAGCATGTTTTTTCTTTTCTGAGTGGTCATCTGTTATTCTTCAGTAATTATTGACCTTTTATACTGAACAGTTTACTGCATTTTTGCAAGCTTATCTTAGGATGGAACATTGCATCATTTTTCTTCAGTGGCTTAAATTAAGCATTAAATAAATTCAAGCTACAACTAGGGCTGCTTTTTCAAGTGGAAGAAATATTAATATAGCTAGGCTGCT